ATAAATACTGGCAAGGTACTAGCACACATATGTAAACTTAACCTTAAGTTTAAATTCTTTCACCATGGAGTAGATATCTTCTTGAGAAACTGGTAGTTTCTCAACAATTTGAGAAATTTTCCGCCAAATATGAATTCCGAAGTTTAATTTCCGTGTTCACGAGATACCACCATTAGTCACTATTCTGACTCAGATGAACTCATTTTACACTATAAAGCCCTAGGAATACCCATTTTAATATTTCCCTTCCATCTACGTCTTGGTGTACAAAGTGGTAACCTCTCTTTATTTTGTTACCTGTTATGTCCTTGTCACATTCCTACCATCCTTAATTCTTAAATTAGGTCCTTTTAATTTTATGAAACCGAAATTAGTTCGCCACTCATACGACGGTGAATATCAACCAAGGAATTTAGTTCCATTGTATGTCGCATCTGAATTCGAGAGATAAATCATTTGTTTAGATGGACCAAAGTTACCTTGTACAATAGCCATGTAACCCACAAGTCACAATTTAAGATTTTTTAAACAATACGTACAAATAAAATTGCCATTACGTTGCTGTTCGACGAACAACTATATTATTTTTAAAGAGGATGTGTTATCAGACCGACTATAGGGAAAATATTTGGTGATTAGACCGCGGCACGGCCTTTCCGCTATGCGCAAACTCTGCATTAGTTGCCGAATTTTTTAATCGGTCAGCTGCGGTGGTAGAACGTAGAATTAGCGTAAAGTGAACTTTACATACCTGCGTTACAGGAGATGCTACAAATGTTTTCCATTATCTCGGGTACATGAATGTACAAGACGTTTATTATCTGCTCAGGTAGATACTCCTTTGTGTTCACGTGGCTATTTATTTAAAACCAAGACGAATGAAATATAAATAACATTTTTTTCAATGTTTCAAATTAACGTTGCGTGTTTTTTTCCCATTTTTATATGTCAATTTTTTGAGCACGAGAACTCATGACATCGTTATCATGCTGAAAGAAATTTTGAACTCATGTAGGGCGATGAAATTCTGCATTCACCATGGGAGATTCGCGATTAGTTTGTAGAATCGAGTGAATTTATACGAGCTCTGTGGTCGATCTCTACAGGCGACTGTAACATAATCGGTTCCAGCAGGTTGAACTACTTTTAAATGTTTGTACCGTGTAATTAACCTTCTCCCAGCATCGACAATGAAATTGCATAAGCCTCCTAATATGGACATGAATAAGCTCAATGTAATTACCAATTTGTTGCTACGAGGTCAGGTTTCAAGATAATTTCAAAAAGAAAAACTGTTATATGCCAGTGTATGTTGCGTCTCTTATTAATGACTTACCAAATGGGCCTCTTTGAAGTTTATTCCGTTTATTTCAGTACAGTATAATCAAATTAATAATTTACGGAGAACTTTTGAAATTTTAATTTGGGAGAAACACATAGCAAACAATCATATTGCTTATAAGAAGGGAAGGTACATTATATTTTTCGTCAGACTACAGGACAAAGCCATTGTATGAAAGTAGCTAATATATCCTTTCAAAATATGGCAAAGTAAAAATATCTGTGAATAACGTTAACAAACCAGAATTGAATGCAAGAGGGAGTTAAGAGCAGACTATATCTTGCTACAACGAAGTTCAGAAATTCGTGTTACTTATATATACTCTTAAAGATAAAAACATTTAAAAACTATAAATTTACGTAATGTTTTTTGTGGGTGTGAAATCTGGTCTGTCACTTTGAAGGAAGAAAAGAGATTCAGGGAGTTTCAGAAGAGGTTGCGTAGGAAACTTTTTGGGCCTAAGAGGGTTGACGTAACAGCAGGATGGATAAAATCGAAAATGAGCTTCATACTTTGTAATCTTCATTAAATATTAGGAAGAGCGATTCAAGGAGTAAGAGATGGGCTGAACATGTCGCGTGCGTGAGGGAGATAGAAAATACATACAAAATTTTAATTTGAAATTCTTTAGGTATGAGCACTCAGAATATATAGACGTAAATGATGGATAATATTAAAATGGTTACTAGGGATATAGGATTCAGTGGATTGGATTCATCTGGCTTAGGATAGATTCTTGTGGCGTCTGTAGTGAACACGGTAATGGACCTTCGGGTTTCATAAAAGGTGATGAATTTATTGACTAGTTGAATGTCTATCTGGTTCTCAATTACTATGATCCACGGAGTTTGGTTAGAAGACAAGAAACCACGTTGAAATCCTGTACCTAGGTGCGAGCTAAATATGAAAATCGATCTTAAGTAATGTAAGAACTTGGTCTATGTCGTTCAGAATGGAGTTTATTAGTGACTTTTTATTATATTACTCAACGTAAGGCTATTAATTGTTGAGATCAAACAAATAATATTTTCCTTTTAACTTACAAAATTATAATTTGAGGTTATCTTTGAAATAGGCAAATAGTATGAAGATGAATGTCTATTAGAATGCTGTACCAGTAGTAGTCTGGTAGATATTGACCGAAGTGTCAGATTTGCTTACCGCCTTTGCCGCTAGCCGAATAGTTTCCACAAGACGATAATAAATAGTAACCTTAGATTATTTCATGAAACGAATTAGTTACTGCATTGCTAAGCTCTGAAGGTGTTTAAAAGTGGGACAACATTTGAAGCGTGTAACTTTAAATACGTTTCTTATAAGGTAAAATACTAAAACTATGTTATTTGACGGTAAATATAGATAACTAATCCATTCCAAAACGCTTTGTTGTTACCAGGAAATATACAGAAATGCCAAGTGTAAATTGTCTTATTTAAATTATATTTAAAGTAATCTCATGGAAATATATGCCCTGTATTGCCCTGTGTCTAGAGGCCTTATTTCATCCTGTAATTTCTTCTGCCTCATATTCAGCCTAAGAAGTGACCTGAGAACCAGTTCCCCCAATACCACTGCAGACGATAGACGATAGAACGTGTTCTACACTGTTTATCTCCATCGCAGTCGATTGCTTACCGTGAACTAAGTCAATTTGTTGCGCTCTACACTTGGTTCGATTGCAGGAGGGAAGCCATCAGAGTGGTGCATTGCCGGTCTAATTAATTGTGTTGGCCATTTGATTATCAGAACGTACCTTCACCGTTGATACGTTCATAAAGACAAATGAAACCCTTGCAGTTGCTTAGTATCACCAAACGAAATGAACAGGTAAACGGGTCGTGAAACATTGTAACCCACAATACGAACAATTAATTGTAAAGTTCCTTATGAAATTGGAGTGTGTTGGGAACTATTGCATTAATTTATTACTTAATTAATGTACTATATGAGATTTGATATTCTCAAGATCAAGACATCATTGTTGGTCTTCTGTGTTATTACGCCGCGTAGAATAGTAGTGCTGAAGATAGAGACAGCATGTTCCTCCGAAGTGAATCCAGAAGGCGTTAAATCCATAAGATCAACATCGACGTTTTGACTGCCTTAAATATATCAAATATCATATAACGCACTAAGTAATCAAATGTATGTAACAGTCTCTTTTCGAAGCTGATAGTTGCTCATCTAGTCAAGAATCTCCCACTTTTTATGAAATCTGAATATTTAATATCGTCTTTACAAGAGCCCACCGCCAGTTTGTGCTCAGTCAGAAGATTCCGTTTATATACAGAGTATACACAAAAGAATGGTGCGGTTTCAAAAGTTAATAAACAATTTATTTCTCACCTTACACGGGCACAACATACACCGTCAGCGGCGTCAACTGTCCAAGTTTCTCATGCGTTAATTACAATCCTTCAATGTGTGCACCCTGGATCACACGACACACATCCACACGGTAATCAAACTCATCCCAGACTCGGTGTAGCATGTCAGCTGTAATGGCCTGCAGTGCATGCGTTATCCGATCACGAAGTTCATGGATGGACGTGGGCAATGGTGGTACATAAACGGGGGGGGGGGGGGGGAGCTCCGTCCAGTTGTAGAATGTAATCGTCATAATTGGTATTCAGTTGGGGTAACAACCAGCTTTCCAACTTTTGAAACCGCACCTTTCTTTTGTGTATACTCTGTATGTTAATATATTGTTCTTCATCGTTGTCACATGACGTCACAACCTACAAGGACGTCCAGGTGTTTACCAATCTTTATTAGAGGCACACTGCTGAATTGGATAATAAAATATAATATAATGTATAATAATAATAATAATGCGAACATCAGGAAACCTCAGAAAACTGCCATTTTAGGATTTTCATACATCATTCGAAAGACGCTGTCGTAAAATATATATTCATCCCTCACAATGAAACTATTTAATGCATGTAACACATTATAAACAAAATGTATTTCGGAAATAGCTGCTGCACTATGTACCTCAGGGGTAAGGTTTGTCTCGGGTACATGAAAGTAAATATCCTGTAAAATGGTGAATATATGGAATAATAATGATTATTATCCTTTTACACAGCTTGCTTATTCCAGTATCTTGTTTACCACTTTTCCACTGCATGTTTCATAGACCATCTTCAGGTGGTATACAAGGGCTTGTGTAAATTGTATTTAAATGTATCAAACAAGTACTTACTGGAAATTATATTTTTAACTATAGACTAATGTTAGCACAATAACACCTTGTATTATTCTTATTGTGTTTCTTATTATTGATTTATTTCTTCTAATTCTATTGTCTTCCTTCATTTATAAATTTCCTCTTTGTATTTTTACATTTCTTTCGATTTTTTTATGTTTTCTTCTTTATTTCCTTTCTTCTTGTTACGTACTGATTCTGCTTCAGACACTTCACGTCTGTTAGATGAAATCTTACGTTAATTTTGTCGGATTTCAACTTCTCACGGTGGTGAATCCGAAGACGGCTGTGTTGAGTTACAACTCCGTGTAGTCTGGTAGACGTTTAACGACGTTTCAGAGGTCCTTGTTGCCTCCATCATCACTTTAGGCCTGTGTTTTATATTTCCATGATGACATGCCTATTTAATTACGATTTCATTCGACTTCGCTGATCTCTTTGTCACAGATGCCATCCCAACAGAAGCTTCTGCGATTGGTGGCCGAATATGACGTCAGCAGAGGTCTACAACGTCAGTCGTATTGGCCCCACAACAGTGACCTACGTCGTGTATAAGTTCCGTCACCCTCTATCGGTCACTGTTTTCTTCTGTGTCGCCTACGCCCTGGTGTTTGCTGTCGGCGTTGTTGGAAACTGCTTCGTCGTAGGAGTCGTGTATCGCAGTCCCAGGATGAGGTCGCCGACGAACCTGTTCATCGCAAATCTCGCCTGCGCTGATCTTCTGGTCAATGTGCTGTGTTTGCCGTTTACCCTGGTGGGGAACATCATGTCAGGTGAGTGGTTTATTCTTGTTGATTGAAATATACTTGTTAGTGTTATTTTATTAAAGCTTGACCTCTATTTACGAACGTAAAAATTCGATGAAAACTGTTCGATCGCCCTGATAATGGAGGCAGCACGGACCTCTGAAACATCGGTAAACGTCTACCAGACTACACGGCGCAACAACCCAGAAGACAGAAATCTTCAGACTCACCGTCGTGAAAATCTCAAATATACATTCTCAGGATTGTATTAATTCGGGTCTTCATTGTTACTTAAAAAAAGTAAAATAAGGAAAACATTCGGGGAACAGGGGAACCGTATCCACTTTCAGACCAAGGTGAAAGAGACGGGGAGCGTGGTGATATCTGGCGCATATGTCGATCTCACCGAGGCATCCGTCCCGCAGCACAAGGTACGTTTTTGTGGCTGACTGATGGGCCAAGATCATCTTTGATGATGGTTGTTCTGCTTGTGAGAAATTTCGTTGCTGCTGGTCTTTTGTCACGTTCGTTCAATCGATCGCTTGAAATGCTGTGAGAAATGAGGTTTATTTGGGCCTAATTTTAAGGAATTCCTCACAGAATCTGCGTAACTATCTGTGTGTCTGTGTGTGTGTGGTATGACCTCACAAATTGGTAGCACAGACCGTTTCTCTGCAGGGAAGGCTTTGCTACATTTGTGTCTCATTCAATAATGACCTCCCTTTGCTTCTCCGTGCACTTGAAGTAAAACTCATCTCTCTAACGATGATCCTCTCAGTCTCTGAAGTAAATCTTCTCAAATTATCGCCCGGCTAGAGTTTGTTACTTACCGTTAGAACATTAACATCTTCTGGAACTAGTGTAAAACACTATCGAAATCAAATTCTGTTACTGTTATGTAAGACTTACCATTCCCCTGATTAACCGCGATTCTGTAGGACAAGAAACTAAACATCGTATAGTTTATACTTACGTTCTGACTTAAGAGTGTCTCAAGAAGAGCATTATGAACACACTTAGAAACATATTCCTTGTTCAGTTGTCCAACCAGTCAAGAAATTCCCCATTTTCTTCATTGAATAATATTTTTATTTTTATTGTAGGCGTATGATAGATAATCTACTAGCTATATTCTATAAATCTAAATATCTTACCGATCTTTATTTAATATAATTACAAGCATTGCTTAGTAACGAGCCATTAGCAACACACTGTTTGTTATTAGTTTAATTTTCTTAAAATGATAATATATTTCAGAATAATGTCTTACGACTTTAATAAAATAATTATAATTTTTATAAATATTTTATCTAAAGGCTTTTCTTTTAATATCTGGGCGAGTTATTAACAGCCGGAAAATTATGGTCCCCTATATTTAATTTAGTCAAAGGCTAATAAATCCTCGCACCAAGGAATTTTTCATGTTACGAAATGTTTCAAACATGGACGTATTCTTACGCATGTTCTGAATAATGTAAAATAATAGACTGGACATGTAGAATGCACGATGAGCTGATACATAATTTATTCTTGTCATATTTTACTTGTATGTCATAGTACATCATTTGCTAACGTTGTGAAACATTAACATTTTTTATAAAATCTTTAAACCGTAATGACGAATTTGTTCAATCCGATATTCGTATTAAGTTGTCCTAGGCAAGACTTATTAGCTTCCGTTACTTAGAAAACTATATAAGTCATGCATATCATTGGTCGAATTATTTACCATTGAGAATGAATAATATTAAGATAAGTCTTAAAGATAAAATTGGGTTGAAACGCGATGTCTCTTCTATTAACTTCTCAATTTGCTAACTTTAAAGAAAGACGCAAGTAAATTAAGTAACTGGCACAGCGGAAACGAGGAAATAACGATCCGCCATTAACAGTAATAAGCAAGCTTAAAGTGGTAACTCATCACCATACAAATTGCCAGAATGAATATTAATACAGTAACCAAAGATCTTGAAGATGCAAACACTAGGACTTAAAGATAAAACGTTTTGACGGCTTCAGATTCATGTTTGGGTGTATAAGATTGGATTCAGTATCGGAACACTAGCTCTCAGACATCATATTTAGATACAAATTAACGTAAATCATCTGTAATTCGGTGCCTTACTGGTGTTTGTGCCACAGACGTAATGATTATGCTACTGAACTCGGTTTAAGAGCCTCGTTTGTGAAACTAGGGATGCAGAAAATAAAAGTGAGGTCGGAACTTAGCAGAAAGTTATTTATATTTGTATGTACGAGGCGCGTCCCAAAAGTAAGTTTCCCTGGGGCCGTTTACAGAAACAAAACACAATTTCATGGAAATATTTATTGCAACAGATACAGCAAGTGTCCAGCTATTTTTCAACATATTCGCCACCGGAATCGAGACATTTGTCATACCGTGGGACCAACTTTTGAATACCTGGG